TGGGCAGAGCACAGATAGCCCATTGTGTAGATTTGTGCTTAATTACAAACAAACCCATTGTTTTTTAATATTAATTTTACTGTTGATTATTTTTTGTCTGTAATACATTATTTTGGTTTGTTTTATTAATCTACTTAAATAATTTCTAAAATGTTTTAACTCAATCAATTCATATAGGTTGGTTGTTTGTTTCTTTATTTCTTTACATTTTATTTCTATGTTGAAAAATTGCAATAATCCCTTTGTCATCTATGGTTTTTACTTTTTTCTCTGTTAATTTTTACATAACTCGAAGATGATTCAACTATATTTTCTAATTTTCTAATAAAATCTTTATATACATCTTGTATGTTAAATTTTTGATAGATACTATTACAATTAATATGTCTTATTTTTGTATCAATATTTTTATAACTTATTTTTAATTCTTCATTACTATACTTAGTTTTATACATAGTTTTGTTCATTAAATAAATTTTTTGAGCTGTAGTAAATTGATCTGTAATCCTAGTTTTTAAGACTGCAACTTGTATAGAATCTAATAATGGTTGGAGACGGCTTGAATGGGTAATGAAAAAAACTTTAATATAAGTTTAACATAACAGCAAATGTACCCATTATTAGTACATTATATCCAACCATTATTAGTCTCAAAGTGGGTTCCTTGTCATCGAATTTGTATAGAATCTATTATATCTGTTCTAATATAAATATGATCGACACACGCATTCGACTGTTCTCTAGTAATAGTTTGAATACAAGGATAAAACCCAAAAGCAGTTAATATATTTTTATATTATTTTAAATCATTTTCTTCAGATTTTATATTTATATTCATGTCTCCTACAGTGTACGCATTTTTTATTTTATTTTCACTTAAATGTCTCTTAGTTGTTTAATGTAATCTTGTATGCTATATTGATGAGATCTATAGCATTATATTTAGTTTTTTGACATGTGCATTGTATATTTACTACTTCAGTTGTATTAAATTTAACAGTTTCTTCTTTTGCATTTCATTGCTTACAAATACTAAAGTATTTCCAGATTTATTATAATTTCTGACTTTATAGTATTTTTATACCCCTTTGTATTATATAAATTTAACTCTTCATTTTTGGCCCATATTTCTGTAAGAACTATTATATATATATATATCTTCTGTGGAATTAATAGTAGATAAATATGAAACAAATCAAAATTCTTATTTAGACTACGTATATTCCTTTGTATTATTGAACCAACAAAGAAATCTTTCATATGTGGATTATCAACTACAAATTCCTGAATCATCATTTAAAATAATGTTACGACAGCGGAAGTCACGTGACTCTGGTAACACGTCATGATATTCTAGAAGGATCATGTAGGCCTGAGCGTTTGCTAAACGCCCTCTGTTTTAGTATATAAGCCCGGCAAATAAAGCGGAGATAATAATTGCAGATAGACAGATATAGAGACAGATAACTGAGGCATATGAGCGGTAATGACTGTAAGTAAAGTGCTTGAACCGTTGTGAATTATAGCGTGTGTTTAAGTTAAAGTGACTGTGGAAATTCTATGTATTGCAAAGTTGTATTGATAAAGAATAAACTAGTTTTATTTAAAGAAAGGACTTGTATCGCTGAAGTTCCTCAGGGAGAATTTATACCGGAAATTAACAAACGACCAGATACGTAACAATAATTTAGTTAAATCCTGCTCACTTTTAATTCTTATTACCTTTTCATTTTCTGATTGTCTTACTATAATGTTTCCTTCTTTAATCCAAATATACTTATAATTTTTATTTCTAGCAGCGTTTTTCGAAATAGAAAACGTTTTTTTAACTCAGGTATTAGATTTATAAACACTAAACTTTCCTTATAGTATTCATTCATTAGGTTTTCAAGAAATTAATGTCGCGTTTTGGAAACTTTCATCAACCACCCCCCATAAAACGTACAATAGTTAAACGAACTCAGGTATTATATTTATAAACACTAAACTTTCCTTATAGTATTCATTCATTAGGTTTTCAAGAAATTAATGTCGCGTTTTGGAAACTTTCATCAACCACCCCCCATAAAACGTACAATAGTTAAACGAACCGCCTAAACGTCACGTTAGTGTAGCCTATATAATGTGTGAAGTTTAGTATACTCTAATCCCTTGTAGTGATGGAACACGACGAGACACGCATTCGGCATGTAATGCTGTTTGAATACCAGAAGGGAAACAACACCTCTATAGCCACAAAGAATATCAAAGAAGTTTATGGAAATATGTTGAACGTTCCATAAGTGTCAACGATGGTTCAGCAAATTTCGTTCAAGTGACTTTAGCTTTAAAAACTGTGATGGCAGGGGCCGACATGTTGGAATTGGTATTGATGATCTGAAGACGCTTGCTGAGTCTAACGCAAGGCAACACACTCGTAAAATGGCCTTGAAATTGCATGTCTCTCATGAAACAATGCGTAAGCATCTAAGGAATATGGGAAAACTCCTTAAAGAAGGTGCTTTGATGCCTCACTAACTCTCAGATGGTTATCGTTTCCAACGTATGAACGTTGCTTCGTCTCTTCTGGCATGTAATGCGCGTGAACCATTTTTGGACAGAATTGTCACTTGTACTATAATAGCCTCCACAAGGCGACAAGAAATGCTGTCAATTAAATTATTTATGTAATCCACTGTGAGTTCATCCCAACTTGTCACTAGAAGGCGCTGCAACTAAGCTGTAGTAGCTGGTTTAGTGTCGTGGTTAGCAATCCATACTAGTTTGGAGACCTTAAGGCCATGTGTATGAAAGAATCCATCTACGACTTGGTGATTGGTAATATGCAAGAGCTACTGTGCTAGTATGCAGATGTCTTCACAGATAAATCGGGCAAGACAGACCTTGTGCAACACAAGATTGAGACTACCACCAGGGATCCTGTCAAGATGAAGCACTACTAGATGCCTATGCATTGAAACACTAAGAAGGGAACTGCAAATGCTGGTGCAGACTATATGATGATACTTTATATATGAGCTGAAAACAGCCTTTGTAAATAGTGTAATAAAATATTGTAAATATTTTTCTTGAAGAGAGGTTTATTGTTAGATATATACGACTGTTCCATTTGAATTTAATACGATAGTTATGATTTAGACAGTAATACAGTACAAGTGTTAATGTAAGTTATTTTTAGAAGCAATAGTTACGGCGAGTTTGCTTGTGTAACTGTTTACAAATCATTTGTTGTGTAGTTCAATTGTAGATTATTTGTGGACTTGTTGTTCTCCCTTCATGGACGTCTAGATACCCTTCTGTCAGTTTGACCATCTCGTCCACGTCTTTTGGTGCTCTCTCTTTTAGGAACAGTGATCACTAATAGTTCACATATTAGTAGATCTTCCAGTCCTTCAAAACTATCTTCAAACTTTTCCATGTCAGTTCACCTTATGAAGTACCACCATAGACGTGCCACAAACTGAAATACGAAATATCTGGTATTCAACTTGACTTTTCTGAACTTCTGGCAGAAACCTTCTTCAGTAAGCTCATAGCATTTCAGCAAGGCTACTTTTAGCTTCTCATTGTTCCATGGCATCTTCTGACGTCATACCCACATACACTTTTAGTCCTTTTTCTGTGAGATGGGGCCTACACAGATTGCCCCGTCACCTTTGTCCCAGTTCTGATTTTGAGTGAATCTTTCATACCTCTCCAGGAAAACATCCATGTCGTCTTTTTGTTCTTGAACTTTGGACAGCTTGGGTTGGCTGGTCCTGACGCCATTGTTATTCTTGGGTCTTCTATCTTTATGTTGGGTGAGCTTGTCGATCTCAATTTGTACTTGAATTCTCTCTATTTCCAGTCTTTCCTCGTCTTCTTGCTCAATTTGTGCTCTTATTCATTCTTATTCTTTTCTCTCACTAGGTCTTGTTGTTGTTGTTTAACAAACTCTCGTACACCACTATCTTTGAACCCAAGTCACTTGCCCCTCTCTATCCACTTATCAAAGTCAGTCGACATGGTTATATAGTGTGGTTGTGACCTCTAGAATATTCTCACCACCCCTACAGCTATGTGTTTTTATGCTTTTTTGCCACTGTGGTTTATGTCTGCTTATGTCACTGTTTACCACTATATTCTAGCTGGTTCGTTACTGTCAGGTTTTATGTATAACCCAGATTCTTTACAGTAGGTGTCTGTGACTTGTTGGTAATAAATTTCAACAAACAGCACACAGTCCACTTGTATCCAGACCTTTAAATAATTGTATTGGAAACCAGATTCACAGAACACAATAAAAAAACCATCCCATGTTTTCCACCATTGCAACTCAAAAAACAATGGTATATCTATTCAAAACACAGTAATTTTAAACAAAGAACTAAACATAAACAAACGAAAAATCAAGGAATCCATCTTGATTGAACAAAACAACCCTACTCTAAACCAACACCATGGGGTGCCAAGATATCTCTTCTGTGTCTTGCAACAGTATCCGGTCATGTGACCTCTTTGTTCCATACTGTATATATATATATATATATATATATGTGTGTGTGTGTGTGTGTGTGTGTGTGTGTGTTAGTGTAGATTACTTGTACCTGATGATGATGACAAAACCTTTTCGAAACGTTGTACATTTGCTGTTATGTTAAACTTATATTAAAGTTTTTCTTCATTACCCATTCAAACCGTCTCCAACCATTATTAAACTTAAACTAAAACAGTCTTGTGTATCTAACAACTTCTAGAATTAAAATTAGAAGAGGCTATGTTATACAATTAATCAAGTTGGCTTACAAACAGTTGTAATGGTCAAGTTGAAATGATTATTAACAAAAATCTTAAATTTGTTGAAATAAGTGTTATTAATAACCAATATTATTTCATTTATGTTCTACATTTTGGAGAAATTTTCCTGAGAAGCATTATGCACATTTATTTTACATTCATTCTTAGAAAAAATAAAACGCAACAGTCAGACCCATATGCAGAATGTCTGAAAGGGTGGTTCTAATTTCTGAGACCAAAAGCCAACTCATTTTGTGCAAAGCACAATCAGTATGGAAAGCATAAACAAGTGCATGAAATATAGCATAAACAAGTGCATGGCTTCTCACATATAATCCACAGATATCCAATTAAAAGTTAACAAATTATCATTTTGTTGTAGTAGTGCATGTAGAGCTAGACATAAATTAGCATAAGTATGTGTTTTATTATAGTTAAGTACTGTACTATATGCATGCAGTAATTATTAATTGTTAAGTTATATTACCAATTTAAACAACTCTGTACAACAATAGTATATAAGTTATTTCGATCATTGGCTTTCATATACTTACATATATGCCCTACTGAAATAATATGTTAGCATGCTCCATTCTTCTGGGGTGCTTTTCCATAAATAAATGACATAGTTTCAATGTTGATAGCATTGTCATAATGATTATGTAATAAAATAATTGCACTCAGTTTTTCTTTGGTTTCTGTAGACCTCAGGTAATTATTCAACTGGTGGAGAGTAAATGTCAAACATAATGGCTGGAGACGGCTTGAATGGGTAATGAAGCAAAACTTTAATATAAGTACCTGATGATGACAAAACTTTGTCGAAACGTTGTACACTTGCTGTTATGTTAAACTTATATTAAAGTTTTTCTTCATTACCCATTCAAGCCGTCTCCAACCATTATTAGTCTCAAAGTGGGTTTCTCGTCATCGAACTTACAAGACTATTTTATACTTCCCCCTTGTCGCATTACTTCATTGTTATTTACATATTTCCATTAAAAAATCCCCCTTGTCACCGTTGTTATGTGACCTTTATATGGGTAGTTTTGAAAATGAAGCTTTAAATAACACTAAATTTAAGCCAGACGTTTGGATAAGATATGTAGGTGACACATTCGTGGTGTGGCCACATGGCAACAGCAAACTACAAGAATTTTTTAGTTATTTAAATTGTAAATAATCAGCAATTCAATATACGTGTGAAATTGA